ATATATATGTATGTATGTATCCCATTTGTGGCACCACCCTAGATGGATGGCACCCTTATTATTTGACTACGCTGCCTATGTCACAGGCCGGCCCTACTTCCCATACAAGGAGCAATTAAATAAAACAATAATTATCTCACACAGGTTTTGCGCACAAGCAGAGTAGGAAATTATGAATTATCGGTTTATTTAATGTCCGGTCACTTTATGACTTCCCAGCACTTTTATTGGAAACCCAGCCTCGTTTCCATTAGATTACATCAGACCCACATGTTCAGGGTTGGCACGTAAAGATAGTAGTCAGCTGTTCGGAAAATTGGAGGCACTGGTGACTGAATGCCCGTTGTCCATGTCCTGGGTGTGTCCCACAACTTAGGCCCAGTCAGAACCGATAAACACTTCTCAACAAGTTCAAATTAGTTCCTGTTCAGTTTATTTTTATGTGGACCTGGTAATATCTGCTGTACAGGAAGAGGAAACACGATAAATTTCAATCCAATTCAATACAGTTCAATTAACAGTGATTTATTTATTGTTTGCTTATTTCTAGCTCTTTGTAAAGATAAGACAAACACAAAAGTCCTAGATTCATTTCCATTTAAAAAGGGAAACRTGTCCCTGTTGATTCTAACAAAATGCAATCCTGCCTGGTTAACCTGGTTAATTTAAGCTGTGATTTTCCAAAATGTTATGCAACAATATACTGACTTTATTTTTCCAGTCTTTCTTTATTCTGTCTGCATAATAACTGCAGTGAGTCGCCTGTCGTTCGATCAGCTGATCCGGCTGATGGGTAAGGACGATTTTAGTCTGTCATCTGAACAGGAAAAAACAAAACAAAACAAAACAAAAASAGTAAAAATTAACAGTGATCAACAACATATGTGCACATTTATTCAAATTTAAGGTGAAGTGCAGACTGTGTAAAGACATACTTCAAAATAGCTTTGGGACAGCTTTATTTTAATCATTTTATTTTTTTCAGAATGAAGAGCGAATATGATCTACTATTCTCTCCTTTGGACAGAATGGTACTCTTTCATTTTGAGACAGATCAGTCAAGATGATGAGGTAGCTTGTATAAATTAATACAGTAWRAAAATGACAGRCTCTGGYTGAATCTCAGATTCAGGAAGAKCAGTGTGGTTTTTGTCCTGGTCGTGGAACAGCAGACCAGCTCTACACCCTGGAGGGTGAGTGGGAGTTCRCTCAACCAGTCTACRTTTGTTTTGTGGACTTGGAGAAGGTGTTGGACTGTGTCCCTTGGGGACTCTTGTGGTGGGTACTCTGGAAGTATGTGGTACCAGGCCCATTTATACGGGCTGTTAGGTCCCTGTATGGCCGRTGCTAGAGCTTGGTCCGCATTGCCGGTAGTAAGTCGGACTCTTTTCCGGTGAGAGTTGGACTCCGCCAAGGTTGCCCTTGTCACCGTTCTGTTCATAACTTTTATGGACAGAATTTCTAGGTGCAGCCAAGGTGTTGAGGGGATCCGTTTTGATGACCTTAGGATCACATCTCTGCTTTTTGCGGATGATGTGGTCCTATTGGCTTCATCAGATCGTGATCTCCAGCTCTCACTGGAGCAGTTCGCAGCCAAGTGTGAAGTGGCCGGGATGATCAGTGCCTCTAAATCCGAGACCATGGTTTTGAGCCGGAAACCGGTTGCCTTCTCTGGGTTGGGGAGGAGGTACTGCCCCAAGTGGAGGAGTTTAAGTATCTCGGGGTTTTGTTCACGATTGAGGGAAGAATGGAGAGGGAGATCGACAGGCGGATTGGTGCTGCATCTGCAGTAACGCGGGCGCTGTACTGGTCTGTCGTGGTGAAGTGAGAGCTGAGCCAGAAGGCAAAGCTCTCGATTTACCAGTCGGTCTACATTCCTACCCTCATTTATGGTCACGAGCTTTGGGTAGTGACCGAAAGAACGAGATCACGGATACAAGCGGTCGAAATGAGTTTCCTCTGCAGGATGTCTGGGCTCTCCCTCAGAGATAGGGTGAGAAGCTCAGTCATCCAGGAGGGACTGAGAGTAGAGCCGCTGCTCCTCCACGTTGAGAGGAGACAGATGAGGTGGCTCGGGCATCTGGTTAGGATGCCTCCTGGACGCCTCCCTGGTGAGGTGTTCTGGACACATCCCACTGAGAGGAGGCCCAGAGGAAGACCCAGGACAGGCTAGAGGGACTATGTTTCTCGGCTGGCCTGGGAACACCTTGGGATTCTCCCGGATGAGCTGGTCCAAGTGGCTGGGGAGAGGGAAGTCTGGGTCTCTCTGCTTAGGCGGCTGCCCCCGAGACCTGACCCCAGATAAGTGGAAGAAGACGGACAGATGGACGGATAAAAATTACAGTCTCTTTTTTGAGATTTCAACAAGATTTCATGAATTTATAAGATATTTTTCAAAATGCATCATTATCTTGTCACTGTATTTAGTGTGACAGTAATGAGAGCAAAATTGTCAGTCTCCTCATCTGAAACAGTTAATTTCACACTACATTTACCCATATGCTGTTAAAAAGAAGAAATGCATCAATGTGCAGTTACTACTGGTTTATTTGGTTAAATTAAATATCAGAAGATAAAGATTGTCTTGGACTAAAAAAGGGTGAAATACACCAACTTCTTCAGTCACCCCATCATTAATATCTGACAGTATCTGAGTGAGTCTTTTTTAAAATCTTTTAATGGTTCAAGAATCTATGAGGCCTTTTGACTTCAGAATGACTTGACAGATGCACTGCATGTCAACCTGCAAATATTTTTGATGTAAACAAACAGCTTTAATGGTCCATGTCCTGTGAGCATTAGGCACTTGAATGTAGCCTGCTTTTACCCTTTGTTTGCATACTTTTAAGCCTCGTTGCTGTGCGTGTGTTACTTCGGTCCGACCAGGATCYTCAACTGTTAAACCTACCTGCTTTMTTTATCACCAGGCGCACCCTGTGGAGTTCTGTAATTACTAGCAGTCCTTTCTTTGCTCGAGGTAGAAAATTAACTATTTTTTCAACCCCACAACACACGTGTACATGTGGTTTTGGAGCACGCACGCACCGAGAATAAAATGTTAATCATTAGCAGGTACAGTTAAATATTGAGCTTAAAATGTTTGAGCAAGGTGCGGCTGAATCACTTGTTTCCTGGTACTTTTTACAGATACACATCTGTTGTGCAGTCTGAGTGTGTTTGAACAGATAATAAAGGCTGAACGAAAAGTAGCCTTGATATTTTCAGAAGGATATTGACTAAGTGAGCTTTTTTATTGTTTACCCTAAAATAAAATAAAAAWATATCTTGCATGATCTGATGATTTTGTTAAAACAAAATGAAATGAAATGAAACAAAACAAAAGAAAAAACTCAAATAACATCCTATTTTCTTGTTGTTTGGAGAGTTCAGGAGGAAATATTTAAATCTTTTTGTGGAAGCTGTGGGAAGTCACTGACTTATTTTACTGGTTGACAGCGATTAGCAAGCTTTAGTTTGGAGAGGTTGGTGAGAATTCTGATCAGGAGTTTAGCTAAWAGCTACTCAGGATAGGCATTTGAAGGGCAAAGAAGAGGGAATTTTCATCACCCAGAATAATTCAAGCCTAAAATCATCAAAATAGTTCAGAAATTGTTTTGTAGCTGCAGAAATATTTCATTGCAGTATCATTTTAGCCTCAGTTAACAACCCCTGATGGASAACTGCTTGTGCTCCATGTCACTGTATGTGTGGCAGCTGAAAACA